CCTCAACCCACAGAGGATCTCACGTGGGCTCCATTGGAGATGGCGTGACACCGTACAAAGTAAATAACCTCACTAGGTCCAGGATGGAACTCTCACAGTACATCCATGGCCACTGGAGCCAAAAGTTTCTCAACTACTCCACCTTGCTCACTGACCAAATCATCTCCCTAAATTATACATGGGCTCAGACATTAGATATAAACTCTGGGTTCCTCCATAAACTTACTATAGCAGGGAAAGCAACAGCCCAGTCAATCCAGATCTTACAACAGCAAATGTCCTCCGTAAGCCAAAGTTGCCCTCCAGAAAAGGTGTATAAATGCCTGCTGCCTGACCGAACCCTGACTCCAGCCTACCCTTCCCACATCAACCTTGACCAGCAGGAAGTAGCCATGATGAGAAAACTCTGCCCCCATCATATAACACAAAAGGCTGGAATGTTAGGGTCCAGGTCTGCAGACAACTCTCTCCCAGTGCAAAAAGCCTCACAAGACAGGCCATGAGGCCCCCTTGCAAAACAGGAACTGGCCAGACAGCTACATTTAGAGCTGTCTCAGCACAAAGCTGTTCCCCAGATAATTTTGGAAGATAAACAGGTCCCTACACCCAGACCAAATGATGTAATAGCTGTCTCAGTTTGAGCTACTTCCCTTGAAACTGTAAAGATTATTTTTGCCACATTCCCCAACCCCCTATAAGAACTTCTTCAGCAGTCAGAAGGCTGATGGTTGCCTTTCTCTGCCCAGCTGAGCTGCCAGCCACCAGCAATCCTGAGAAATCAACTTTGCTTTATTGGAGTCTTCCTATATTTCCTGTGGCTATTCCTGGCCTGGTTTTTATCTAATGTATGATGCCAAAACCCAGGAAGAGGAATGACTGGGTTACTTATGCCCCGGCTCCCTTACAGAACCATGCTGCTGACTGTGCACTCCTGAAACCGGCTTGCCTATGCCGGCTCCCACCACTCACATCAGGCCCAAGATTATGAGTCCATCTGCATTTCTCACCCTCTGACAGAGTTTGGGTAAGTGCTTTCCCACAGAGCTTGCTATCTCTCTCTCTCTCTCTCTCTCTCTCCCACCTCCCCTCCTCTCCCCCTCTCTCCAGTCAGATGTAGATGGCTTGGGAGCTCCTGGAGCTTCCCACTGGGCCCAATGGGACTCCTTCCTTCTCCCTTCCTTTGCCGTGGGCTTGGAAGGCTGCCTGTCCTACATCATTCTCCCTGTCTGTCCTCTTCCAGTGTCTTTCTGCCTCACTTTGCTCGGGATGACTTCTGATACCGTTCTATCCAATTTTAGGTCTCTTTTGCTTCCATCCTTTAATCTAGGCTCTCTCTCCTCCTCCTTCTAACTAGTTACAGATTCCCTTCACAGGAAAAATGCTCCAGATCCTTCTCCTCTCTCCCCCTCCTATAACTCTTGTTCTGCTTCTAAACCCAGCTACAAATGTTTAGGCCTCTGTAAGTCTACCTGCTTTTCTAAATTTTTCAGAGAAAAATTAGGTTGCCCATCATCTTGTACTTCTTTAGTTTTCTCTAAAGCTTTCCACTCTCAATCAAGTATCTGTCCTCCATGCAGGCTCTAAAGCTATATTTCATCATGCCTATGTCCTAAAGCTTCTGTTTTGGTAAATTCTTCTGTAAGTAAAAAATAAAAAACCTTTAGGAGACACTTTTTTGCCCCATACCATCTTGGTAACCACTAAGGACCCCCAAATCCTAATAACTTATTTATTTATTGCTCATGTGGAATTTTTTACAGGTGCTCTTAATTGGGTAGGTAAACTTCTTTATCTATTTTACTATCCTGCCTCAGGGTATTCAAGGCTACAAACTGCAGATGTTCAGTCACAAGTCCTAAAACTCTTGTAATTTTTGTTTTGGCTTTCATCTTGGATTCTTGATCAGATCGTAAATAAAACAAGATATGGGGCTGAGCATGGTGGCACATGCCTTTAATCCCAGGACTTGGGAGGCAGAGGCAGGTGGATCTTTGTGAGTTCGAGGCCAGCCTGGTCTACATAGTGAGTTCCAGGACAGCTGGGGCTACAGGGAGACCCTGCCTCAAAAAGACCAAAAAAAAAAAAAAAAGATTTTAACAGTTTCTATTGTCTTATAACAAGGTCAATACATTTTTATATCAGACTAAGGAAGTAAGGCCACAATGAAAGTTTAAATTTTAACATTATTTTAACCTGTTTCTAAATGGGATTATTTTCAGTATTATTTGAATTTTATTTATTCTTAACATAAAGTGTTAATGTTTCCTTTTTGTCTTTCCTATCTCCTCTGATTTAACTTGTGCTAATAACTTATAACTTTGCTGGATTGCATATGTAAAGGCATCTCCCTCTGTAAGAAACATTAAATATTAATCTTCTTTCAAAAAAACCATAAAACTTAAAACTTGATTTATGATAAGAAATTCCAATCCTTTAATCCCACCATGCCTTGTATGACTTTTGTTCAAGAAAACGTCCTTATGCCTCCTGAACCTGATGGTCTGGAACAGCTGCGCTCTTCTCTCTTCAAACAGATTCCTTTAAACATCTTTATATAACAATAAAATCTGCCTTGCCAAGTTACTTTGCTTTGTCCATGTGTTCCTTGTGAGGTATCAATAGGGTTCTTAAATAGTTATTTGGCTCTTAAAAGGAAAAAGATACTACTTCAAATCTATATGACAAACAACAGTTTTAAATATTAGAGAACTAGAGATATAAGCTTTCTGTCTTCTACTCTTTGGTGCACCTAGATTTCATGTGATTATGGTATCTGTGTCTTTGATCATTGTTTTCAGGTATTGTTTGTGTCAAAACAATTTTTGAACTGTGGCCATTTTAGCTCTTTCCCCTTTCTCATTGTTTTATTAGACACAAAAATTATTGGTTTTATTTTTGGCATTCCTAATCAAAATACACGTGTGCAAATTTATAAATATTTTGATGATACATTGAAAGGCCTTATAAATGGGTACCCTAATTATTTTAAAATCTATTAAACAATGTCTCCAAGTTTATTAAATGTTTCACAAAACTTTCAAATACTGATTACCTATACAAAACAACATCTGAACTGATTATATAAAATCCCATTTGTTAAATACCTTTTTTGGTTTTAGTTTACTTTCAAGGTGTTTTAAGGTGTATTAATTTGCTTTGTCTACTTCAAATGTGTTTTGGTTTAAAAATAATAAACCACATTCTCAAAATTAATAATTACAACATCCTAATTATTAAACTCTATCTTATATATAATTAGATATGTATACACAGTCAACATAAATTTATGTTTCTTAAAATTAATTTACTTCGTATCATATTGCTCTTAACAGGTTTCATACAAACTAAAAATGTTAACACAAAAATGTCTTTTCAGGTCAAAATATTTTCTCTTTAATCCTTATCTACAACATGGTTCCTAGTACTAAAATATATAAATTAATTTTAAGTACCTCTCTCTCCATCTTTCCTCATTCCCCACCCATTGCTCTCAAAATCTCTCTCTCTCTCTCTCTCCCCCCCCCATTCCCCTTCTTTCTTACTCTCCATGTCTCTCTTCCGATCACTTTTCCTGTACTCTGTCTTCCTGTACCTCCTGGTCATGCCACACTCACTGTCGGTTGAGTTTTTCAAACTGAGTCTGAAAGACACACCAGTGTGCTGAAAAACTCATTCCTTCTACTGGTCACAGGATGCTGTTTCTGGGGAAGGAGCACACCCTGCCTGTCCAGGACAGGAATCTGCTCTGTCCCCTCTCAGGTGTACATACCTCCCTGGTGTTTGTAGGACGTTACCTCCAGTAGACAGGGACCACTCCTCGGGCCTCCAGCAGAAGGGGACGCCTTTCTGCACGTTGGTTCTGCACGTACCTGTTTGACATGACCAACAGTTCATGTATCCCCTCACCTTCTTCATCCTGCTCTCCTGTTCTTTGTTTCTGTCACCTTTCTACTGGGCATCCTCACTGGTGTCCCCAGTTCCACCTCTCAGGTGAGAGACTCCTCATCATCTCCTTCTACCTATTTGCTCAGTTTCTCATCCATTTTCTTATTGCTGCCTATTTAATCTGTCACTATGGGAACCCCTCAGTCTAAGCCTGAGGCTCTCACTCCCTTGATTTGTCTTCTCAAGTCCCTAAAGCAACCAGGACTTTCAGATATAATTACATCAAAGCACCTAAAGTTTTTGTAAACCACTGCCTGGCCACAATGCAAACTAGACAATGATTCTGTCTGGCCAAACAGAAACCCTACATTTCAATATTTTAAGAGATTTTAAAATTTTATTTAAATCTGAGGAGGGTTATAACACAGTTTTCCTTAAGTTATTATACTAGAGGTTATGAACTTCAATTTGATAATGTTTTAATGTTCCAATTGCTTTTCTCTACCCAGTGTTTACATTTCTTCAAAACCCAAAGCAATTTTTTTTGGTAAACCATTCTCTAAACTACATAAAAAATTATTAATGGTTTTATGTTTTCTATAAGGTTTATCTGGAAACTTATAAAGCACAGTGTGTAAATGGATAATATTAACCTAATTATATATGTAATTTAGATTCCATGTTCTTTTATAAGATGATGCTGCACATCACTCCTAAGTCAAATAACTGCCATCTTCATGACTTCAGCTGTGTCTACTTACTAAAAATCACCACAATTGGACCTGTTGACAGTTATGTTTCTTCATTAAAGGAGGGGTAAGCAGGGTCACTGGACCCTCACCTGAGTATTCAGCCATTCTTCTTAGCCACCTGTATGTAATTATGCCCTAATTACAAATTATCTCCTATATTTGAAAAAGACTATAGTATATAATCTTGGGAAGGCAAAGGCTGCAAAGTCAGGGTTTGACCCATGAGGTTATAAAAAAAAGTCAACATCCATGCTGGGTAAGGTTTTCCAGTGCAAATATGCTCAGGTCACTCATACACCTCAGCAACCCCTCAGCCATCTCTGTAAGTAAGCTCAGTGAATTCATTAGTTCCCCAGGAAAACTTTAATGTAATCAAACATTAGTTTGACACTAAAACCTTAGATGGGGGTAAGCCTTGCTTAGTATCCCCAGGCTAAGGTCATAGTTTAGTCAACTAGTTTAAGGATGTCTAGTAAAAGTTTATCTAAAAATGGGTTTTGCCCAAGCTTTATCTGCATAACACATGATAATTAAAAGTACCAGATTGGTGTAACTAACCTTCTTGGGTATTTAATAGCCAGACTTTGGGGCCTATACTAATCTGGTCAGAGGGATTTAAAGAGAGTTTTTGTTCCTTGCCCTCCTAGGTCAACTAAGTTCCAGAGGACTATGGAGCATCTCTCAGAATGTCCTGTAACTGTGATGAGTCACATGTCCTCTTGTTCAGGGAGGCCATAGAGACCCCACCAGATGGACTTGAGCCAGTGTCCAGTCTGCTAAAAGGAGGGTCAACACAGAGGAAACATTTCTTCCATGCTTCCAAGTGAAGCCAGCCATGGGTGAACAGGACCTTTGACTTATCTTCACATAGATGAACTGGTAGAAGAAAAGAGCCAGGGCTCCTCCCAAGCCCCTGTGACCCCTGAGGAACAGAGCCCCAAACGACCTTAAGAGTAAAAATAAATTGGTTTATTTGGGCCAACTGTATGGTCTTAAACACCCAAAAGAAAAGTATAACCAAAGATTAAAGTGATCAGTATTTCTTTAAGAGTTCAAAGGACTGAACTTCCCAAACATTAGGCTTATGTCTCTAACTGCCCCCACTCCTCCATCCACAATGTTACAGTTGGGGCAATACTGGTCTAGTCCCAGGGCTACTTTTCCTTTGCTCCTCTAAGATATATACCTCTATCTCCCCACCAGTCAAAGACACCTACACTCCAGTCTTCCTTATACCCAGATTAACCCTGTACACCTCAGGAGAGGTGCATGATTCTCTCTCCACAGAAATAGAAAGGAGCTGAGCAAAAAGGTCAGCTACTCTAGCAGTCCTGGTGGGAATCCACCTGGTATCATCCAAAGCCGCACAGGATTCTTGACAGGGAGTCTGGGACATACCTTGCTCTCAACCCAACACCTCTCTCAGGAGATCCAGGACCTCAAGAAGGAACTTACTATAGCAGGGGAAGCAACATCCCAGTCAGTCCAGATCTTACAACTGCAAATGTCCTCCCTAAACCAAAGTTGCCCTCCAGAAAAGGGGCATGCCTGCTGCCTGACTGGACCCTCACTCCAACCTACCCTTCCCCATGTTAACCTTGACCAGCAGGAAGTAGCCATGATGAGAAAACTCTGCCTCCTATCCTATAACACAAAAGGCTGAAATGTTAGAGTCCAGGTCTGCAGACGACCCTCTCCCAGTATAAAAAAGCCTCACAGGACAGGCCATGAGGGGCTTCTTGCAAAACAGGAACTGGCCAGACAGCTACATTTAGAGCTGTCTCAGCACAAAGCTGTTCCCCAGACAATTTTGGAAGATAAACAGGACCTGGCATCCAGACCCACTGATGTAAGAAATGTCAGTTCAAGCTACTTCCCTTGAAACTAAAGATTATTTTTGCCACCTTCCACATTCCACAACCCCCCATAAGTACATCCTCAGAAGTCAGAAGGCCGCTGGTTGCCTTTCTCTGCCCAGCTGAGCTGCCAACCACCAGCAATCCTAAGAAATCAACTTTGCTTTACTGGAGTCTTCCTATGTTTCCTGTGGCTATTCCTTGACCAGCTTTTATCTAACACTGTGTAGACCAGGCTGGCCTTAAACTCACAGAGATCTCCTGCCTTGTCTCTGGAGTGCTGGGACTACAGGGGTCCTGCAACACACCGGGCTTCTTAAATGCTTTTATGAACCCTCTAGGGGATGCACTTTCTCCCCCGTGTCAGTGGGTACCAAAGACTGCGTTGGATTTTACAGACAGCTGTTAGCTGCCTTGTGGGTGCTGAGAACTGAACTCCTGCAGTTGCCGGCTATGGCTGCTCTCCCGCTCTCTTAGTTCCTCGGATCAGTCGTCCTGTCTGGACCCCAGGGTTGGTGAGGAGTCTGCACCAGCTCTGCTGCATTCAAACTTTACCGCATTCAGCTTCGCCACATTCAGGAGAACAGGTTCAGTGACACAGATCTGCTTTATTGCAGGAAGGCACAAGCTTATATAGGGATAGTGGTCCAATCACATGGCAGCAAGTAGGATACCTTATTAGCATAACAGGTTTAGCATCCTATAACAGTATAGCAAGTAGGATACCTTGATTCCAAGGGTGGTGATTAGGGAGTGGTGAGCTCTAGGTATCAGTCTCATGATCTGCCAATGGGAGCAAAATATCACAAGGTGTTCCTTGTGGCTCCAGTGGTTGGGCTGTTGCCTCAGGCCTGCTGTATGGCTGTCAATAAGACTTTCACCCTAGGCTCAAGTCTGTCCTGTTTCTCCCGCCCCCGTCCCTGCAAGAGCAGCAGGTGCTCTTAACTCCCAAGCCACCGCTCCAGGAACTGTTTGTTGCCACCATGTCAGGCGTAAATGTATCCATTTGATAAAAATAAAAAGTTCACATACAATTAAAAACAAAAGCAAAAACCCTGACACCAGACAAAGCTCAAATTTAAGACACTGAGCACGTCCACCTCGAAGCCTTGTCAAGCGTGGTCCACTGCCCCTGAGAGTCAGGGCATCACATCCCAGCACAAACATGTCAATAGGAAGCTGTCCGTGGGTGACTCCCCGTCCGGAGCTACAGCATCTCGAACTCAACCCGCACTGCGCTCTAGGACTCCCGAGGGTCCTGGACCACGTAGCACTCACCTGACTCGGGTCTCCCCGCACAGCCGCTGCCATCTGACTCTGCCGGCTAGAGGGACACAAGGGCCGTCCCTACCCCAGGCCTGAAGCGGGTCAAGGGGACTAAGCCGTGCTCCTCTTTCCGTTCCTCCCCTGGCCAGCTGGACGCAAACCCAGGCAGAGAATCCAGGAAAAGCAAAGCTGGAAATCCCCGTCCCAATTTGCGGAAAAGAAACCCGTTTTCATTGGCTGAGCCTTCCTGCGGGATCCCCTGCTGTCACCTCTGGGTAATGTAGCTCCTCCAGCGTCAATCATGAGGGAAGTGGACATGGCTGTACAGGTGGAGATGGAGACTCCGCTGTAGAGACGGAGCTGGAGCTCAGCTGTAGAGATGGAGATGGAGACTCAGCTGTAGAGAGGGAGATGGAGACTCACAGAGGAGAAACCAGTGGATAGTGTGGTGGTTCTAGATGTGCCAGTTTCCGTGTCTCCGAGCTGCTGCAATCTTTCCTTCCCCTTAAGAGTGCCTTGTGTTTCCTTGGGCAAAATCATGATTACCCTAGGCCTGGGGAAGGTCACTATAAAAGACAATGGTTGTGGCCCACCACGGGGGCAGAAGCCTTTAATCCCAGCACTTGAGAGGCAGAGGCAGTCGGATCTTGTTGAGGACAGCTGGGGCTATCAAGGAGACCCTGCTTCAAAAAGACAAAAAAAAAAAAAAAAAAAAAAAGTCAACGGTTGTGACACAATATCTCGTGTGTAAAAATAAGAGTCTGAATTCCAGAGAAAGGTGGTGATTACAATAGAAACTTTCCTCCTCCTCCATTCCTGCCTGTTCTCATGAACTCAGCTGGTACCTGGTCCTGCAGGGCAACAAGCCTCAGATCAGAAAGCCAGCACTACTGGGTCCTGTGCATCTCCACACCTTCCGTGTTCTCGATGTACTACCTCCTTGGTCGCCCACCAGAATATATATGACACCACCACACTCCTTCACTGCAAGGTAGAAAAAGGATTCCTCTCTGTGGCTGGCTTTTATTTTCATTTTTTCCTTATCTTTTTTTTCCCCCTTTGAGGATTTATTTTTATGTGTGTGAGTGTATGCCACATATGTGGTGATGTCTACAGAGGCCAGACAGGGGTTCAGAGCTGTCTTATATGGGTGGTGGGAACCAAACTGGAGTCCTCTGGAATACTTGCAAGTGTTCTCAATGGCTGTGCCATCTCTTGAGCCCCCAGGCTATATTTCAGAGTACTGGAAGGTACTACCTAGATTGCTGGGGGACAGTAAGTCTTACCAGCTGTTAACTCTACTGATCTATTCAGGTGCTTTGATGAAAGTGTTATTTCATGTACAAGAGTTGTCTGATTTTTTTTTTTTTAACACTCAGTTTATGGGCTGCAGAGATAGCTCAGCAGTTAAGAGCATGGCCTACTTTTGCAGAAAACCTGGGTTGGATTCCCAGGACCCACCTGACCTACCCAGAGAAGAATCTCTGCAGGCATTGACCCAAGCCCCGCCCAAAGCTTTTTTTTTTTTTTTTAATTTTGTAGCCATGGAAACGCCCCTTTTCCTTGGCTGAGTCTTCCCGCACTTCCTTCTGGGTAACATAGTTCCTATGACTTGTGAGAAGTGTTGCTGAGAAGGTTGGAGGAGAGTCATCCATGGAGCTCATCGGGTTC